GATTTTCCGAGGAAGCAAGTTTGAAGCTTTTGGAAATTGTAATGCTGTAGAAGCTTCAATTTTGATTTTTATGTTAGTTTTCTACTCTGCTTTCTGCTATTTGGTTGAATCTGTTCACCTATTGTAGTGCTAGTAAAAATTACTCGGCTCATCTGGCATTTAGTAAGATTTCCGAGCCCTTGTTCAAGCTGTCTTTTATCCAGATATGGAAGCAGGCATATTTTATTACTTTGCATCCTGCTTATGCCATATCCAGTATGAGGATTCCGTTCACATCCTGCTAAGTGTTAACACTCTGTAATGTTTTATTTTCCTTTATAAATTTTGATTAACAATATGTTACATTAGAGTATTGTGATAACTTCGCTCAAGAAAAAAGCTGGTTGAAAGTTGTCCTGCCACCAACTATTGGTGTGGATTCAGTGGTCTGCTTGGAAGTCTACTGGAGTAGAGCATATATATTGAATTGCAAATTGCAAACCAGAGTGAGTTTAACGGCTATGAAGAAATGTTCATATTACAATTCGAACCAGAGTGAGTTTAATAGTTTAAGTAATACAGTTCTCTGTCAAGGACCCACAAAACTATTTTGGCTCAGAATCAGAACCAAAAATTTATTTGGAGTTCCCAGATTGTATAGAATAGAGGAGGTCACTGGGTTACTGTTACAGAGGAGGTAGCCTGCATATGAGAGTCGTTCGATTGTAAATGAGAGAGCCATTGAATTGCAGGAGAGAGTGTCAAGGAGAGAAGATAAACTCAGCCAAAGCTATTTTGTTATACACCAAAGAGCAAAAGAAAAAACTCAAAATCACTGTCAGCAGTAAAATTTATAACTAGACATATGACATTTTGTGGGTCAGTTATTTGCTAATTTCTTTTTGTAAATAGAGTAATAAGGAAAGTTTTTCAGGCCCAACCCTGCTGAGTGAAACGAAGATGCCACAGCTTAGCTTAGGCTGGCTATCTTGAAGTTCAGGTTCTCTTTCCTTTATTGTACTTGCAGTTTTAGTTTAATGTTCCTTCCGTTCAGTTCTACTTTCGGTTCAAGTAGTTGATTTTGTTTAATTGCTTTCAGATTACTGAAGATTTATCATTGGAGTTGTTTGTTCAGCTGGCCCTCTTAGCGTGCCCCTGTTGAAGATCAAAGCCTGCCTTGCAGGTTTTGCTGGTTGCATACCTGTGTGTTAAACTCCCAATGAAAATATATGAATTTGAGCGAGAAGCCTTCACCAAGGATACGATTTTGTTGAAATCTGTAATGAGAAAGATTCTGATTATGGAATCAATAATGGTCCTTTTCTCAAGTTACTCTAGCTCCCTTTTCCTTGTTAAAGTTTTCTACTTCCAACTCTATTTTGTATTTGACTGCCAAACAGGAAATCAAGGTGCTTAATATGATCAAACTTTATGGGAAGCCAATATGTGTAAATAAGGTACTGAACTGTTTTTCTTCCCTAGCTATCATTTTCTGGGTCTGTACATCTGTCATCTTGTTCTACATAGACAGGT